AAAATAAATTAAATAAATTACATTACTGATTATTCAGTGTTTATCATAAAATAATATATATTTTTTTAAAATTTCACGTACCCCCTAAGATGTCCTCGCGTACTCCCAGTGGTACGTGTACCCCAGGTTGAACACCACTACTCTAGAAGATTTGAAAGCAAACTGCATTGGATTGGCTGAAGATTAAATGCCATGAAGTGGCGTAACTGGCAGTGAACCTTAGAGATCAGACATTGGCTAGAGATTTTTTAAATTATAGTCGATGACATTTGATACGTAAGTGATATGAAGAACTTTTCAGATAGTGTAATCTCTTGGTTTGCTACGAAAGGAAGACTTCTGCAAGGATACAAACAGGGAGAAAACTGTACAAACTGGTGAAAAGGCAAGTTTGAGTTAATGTTGTTTACAAGGTATTTCATAAATTTAATTGTTTAACGGGTGTTAATTATTCTTAGCTGGCCTTAAGACAGGCCAAGCAGTTTTATAAGTTATTTACATATTATTTCAGTTAACATGGCTCCGTGGACAGATAATGTTGTACAATCATCCTTGCCTGGTCTCTGGAAGTTACCAACTTATTGGAAAGAACCAATCAAAGACGCAGAACTCTGGATGGAAGGAAAGAAAGTTGACGATGATACTTGTGGTCTCTGGCGAATTCGTGATGGGCTTTATGACTTCACTGAATGGTTACATAAGCACCCAGGAGGATCTGATTGGTTACGTATCACAAAGGTATATCACGTAGACGTCTGCATTATTGACCTGATTTTTATGGGAAAGAAATTATAATTCTTAACACCTTGTTCTCGATCTTTAATTTATTTTAAACGGGAATTTCACAAATGAAATATAGAATCCATTATAAAATACAACTTTTATATTAATCATCATTTGATAGAAGATATTTAATTAAACAAAAGGAAGGTTGGTACTGTTTGATAACTGCCGAAAAATATATTTGGATCTTAGTGTGAGGAAACCCTAGATGGAAGGAGAGATTGTAGTCTTCTGTGTTGCGATGTCGTGTA